TGTGGAAAAATTTTTCATATGGCAACTCTTTGTGAGAGATGAGAAAATAAGTGTGATAACGAAGTCAGTGGAGCTAACAGCTCATTTCCTATGTGTCTTAATGCTGCAGCTCAATTTAAAGCGTAGATACTCAGCTGAATTCAATAATTTCTGTAGTGTGCATTTTATTTAAACCATCTGCCACAACATACACATACTGTATACACACAGAACTAGTCCAAACTGCACTCCCGCAGTAAAAAAAAACAAAATAAAAAAAAGAAACAAAAAAAACAATTATGTATTCAGACCTTAGATGTGTACAAGGATTATCATATGATCTATTTAAACCCAAGGCATTTATTGAGATAGTATTATGTTAAATATATGTAAAATCATCATTTATAGGGTACTTTCCATGGGGAGGTTGCTGTCCCAACCTAACCCTAAATTTCAATCTTTCTTTTTCATTAAATTGAAGAAAAATTTAAATGTATCATAAGTTATATTTTTTAACTTATGATAAATCCTAGCATTTTAAAGTAGTGATGTGAAATCATGGTGTCCCACCACTAAAACATTGTTTTAGTTCATAGACAGAGCCTTAATTCAGACACACACCTGCATTTTAGAGCAAGAAATGAGACTGCATCCCTGTCCCTCATGGCCACACGATGAGCTGTTAAATCCCATTGTTTTGAAGCAAATGTGTCTCAAAGTCTGAAAATCAGTGTAGAACAATAAGAATTGTCACTACAGAAACACATATTTTCTGCAATCGATATGTGAGATGTGTGTACAACTGTTCAAAGCTGCGTTTGCTTGTCAAGTATTGGTCAAAAATACCCAAAGTTTTCATTACTGAAACAATCAGTACCAAATCATTTTCTGAAGTTTCATTAGTGTTATGATTGCTTTGTTAGTGACAGAATGGAATGTTCAATAATTTATCTTAATATAATAAACATAATTAAGATATAGGGTCACTATAGGGGTGTGGAAGGAAGTTTACTTATTCATGTAATTGGATAAGGCGTGTTCTTCATTTTAGATGTGGAGCATCTTATGGACTTGGCTAAAGTGAAGGTTTTGGTTCTTGTAAATGACCGCAGGGAAAAACAGTGATGCTTTATATCAGTGACAGTTTGTGCTACTGTTGATTCATAACGATAGAAAAGATTTTCTCTTTGGAAATTGTTAAAATGGGACAAAATGGAAATTGGTCCATCTGACCTGTATCAGCATAAGAACTGGCGTTTGGTTCTATTCTTCTCTTCTTGGGATCCCTTTGGTCTAAAATAAAATAATAAAGCTTTAAAAGAGGTGAGAGGTGTGAGCAACGCTAAATAGTCCCGGTGCTGAACTAACAGAACAGAATGAAATCAAAACCAAAAAATGAATTTACTAAATAAATTTAATTGAATAGCTAAATATAACTGAGTAAAAATAGATTCCTTTTCTTACAAATATGCTAAAGTAGAAGTAAAGGCATAATAATTTGAAAGCACAAAGCCAAAATTTTTCTTCAGTGCATGTAACTGAGTAAATGTAACTAGTTGCTGCCCACCTCTCCCTGCACTGAGCCAGCGAATGCTGCTTAAAAGAATTTTGGTAGATGACATTATATAAGGGAGCCGCGTTGTGTTTGTTTCCGTTAGAGAAGTATAGATTCATAAAAAAACAAATGTTTCCCTCCTTCAAATGGAAAGTCTGCTTCCAAACCTCAATACACCTCTCACCTTTTATTCAGTTAACGTTTGGTTGCACACTTCATTAGGTCCTATAATGAATCTAGTGATGTTTTTATACGTTCCACTTTGAGATTGGAATAATGTATTCACTTCCATTCTGCACCCCAGGGGTTGTTGCCTCTAACTAAAACAGTACATACGAGTGGGATGAGCTGAGATAACCACGGTCAAAAAATGTATAGCTAACACCAGTAGTGGAAACTAATGAGAGTATGTTTACTTTGGTACGGTACTTAAAGGCTCCAAGTAATTTTTAATGAGATTTTGTTTACAATAGCTTTATTGTATATAGACTTTGCTGTAGTTTAATCATTAAGACAATTCCTTTTGCATGTATCAGTAGCCCTGAGAAACTTTCTCACTCTATCAGCCGGTATATGAGAGTATTTTTGTTCTCAAACAATGAGTGAGCAATGCAATTACAGCTTGCTGACTGTTGGTCCTCGCATCTATAGCTCTGTCTGTGACATTGAGGGCAAAATCTCTATAGCCCTTTCTTTCAATTTCATAGAAAACCAAGGGGCAAGGTCATTGCTTTGATTTTCTAATGTAACAGAGCCTACCTATAATAAGTGTGTAGCTATTACAAGAAGATGTACTTTCATTTCACTATATTTTGAGAGAGAAGTGAACTCAGTTACACATGAATCTTTCTTTTCTGCAGAAAAGACAACACATGAGAAGAATAACAACAACAAACTATTCATGTTTATTAATGCAACCTTATTATAATGTGTTACCATAGAAGATCAAAAAAATGAGGCACATTTTGCAAAGCCAAGCACTGAAGTCAAAACATAGATTCATTTCATCCTGCCTGCACCAGCGGTGATAATCTAAGCTAAGCCTATGTGTGAGACACAGTATACTAGACCTCTAACACTAATTTACATAATTGTAAGATTTGTTTGCTTTTTGTAGAGTAACAAATGAGGTAAATACCATTCTTGCTGATGCTGGTATCCAGTAATCCAATAGACTGTGTAATAACTGTAGGCAAGTCCTCTGAAGCAATGAGTAATTCTCACTAACAGTTTGGACTATGTATAACTACATCATCATGGAAAGCTGAATTTAACGATAGTGTATAATTCAGTAATTTATTTGTTTTTCATTTTAGGGAATTAGTGAATGGAATCTCAGACAATATTTTTTAAATGCTTACCTCAGTTTGTATTATTTTGAACTGTAATTTTCTATTATGTCGTTTCTTTTTTTCTTCTTTTACACAAATAGTGTAGGTGATGTATCCATTTATTTGTTTTTCATTTTAGGGAATTACTGAATGGAATCTCAGGCAATATTTTTTAAATGTTTTCCTCAGTTTGTATTATTTTGAACTGTAATTTTCTATTATGCCATTTCTTCTTTTACACAAATAGTGTAGGTGATGTATCCATCACGGTTAAGGGCAATAAGGTGAGAGACATGGCTAATAAGACAATAAGGTTTATTGCTTTAATATAGTACTGTATCTTAGACTTTTGCTGGTCTGTAGTATGTTTTTGCACACCAGTGATTAAAATACCCCCTGGTGTTCAGGGGTCCCATGTTTCCTGGCTACTTTAGAGTTGGCTGGCTGCTAACTCACTCGCCGTAGCGGCACTAATGCTAGCAATTCAATGGCAGTAAAATATCTGGTCTGACAATTCCTCTGAAAATGCTCTTTTCTAGTTTGGTAATGTGGTCTCCCACACAGTAATCGAGATCTTACACATGTCTTCTGTCTCTATCTTGAAAAATGAGCAACAGTTTACTCTTTCCACCTTGGAACTCTTGGACACTTGAGCAGGTTTTCTGAATTACAAATGTGTTGCAGCATATTGTAAATCAAAAGAACAAAAACAAGTTTTTCAGAGGTATCCCAGGCATTGGTAAAGCTGTTAAGCTATGAAGGACCAACTGGGTGAACCAGTCTGCTACAGTGCCGCCCTGAGGCAGACCAGGGATGCATCTCTAGTTAGTGAAGAATACCAACAGACAGAAGTCTTTTCCTTTAAGTTCTTCTGCCTATAATCCTGTTAATTAAGAAACACCAGTACATGGAATCTGTAAGGGTGTAGGTTGTGTCACAAAGCTACAAAAGGGCAACCCTCACTTTGCTGACAGTTTCAACACTTTCAGATGGAAACACTTAGCACTTGACCTGAGTCGTGTAACCACGTAATGCCCACTTGGTTTTTCTGCACAAGTCCTGTGATGTGTGGGGAACATCTCCAGGCAGTGTGTCTACATGTATGCTGTAACTAAGTATTAGATCAGCATCAGAGGCAGGCTGCTGAACTCCTCAGCATGTAGCTGGAGCAGCAGCATTGGAGGTCAATGGCAGACAGCCTGTCCCCTCCAGTATGCTCCTAGCCCATCCTCCTGCTCTCATCCCATTTCCTGTCCTCGCCTCCGGCTCCCCGCCCAGCCTCCTCTGCATCTGAAGGAGCAGACTGATAAATTATGCATCCCTGCGAGAGAAAAAGAGGCCAACGTCCCTTTTGTTTGGAGCCATATTTTCATCTCCCTGCCCAAAGCCCAAGCAGAGAGAGAGAGCGATATGGTTGGAGAAGAAGCTGACCTCTGCCCAAACTCAGGCGGAACGACAAGCCGTGTAATGAGCTTGAGGAGCACTGTGCTCCTGGTTAGATGAACACTACCGCCATGACAGCACTTCGTTTTGTCATTAATGCGCATGAATAACCTGTTCGTGTGTGCTATTGTTGAGAAGCCTCTCGAGGTGTATGCTATGAGATGAACAGTGATGACACTACAGGCTCTTAAGATAATGCAGACTCTCACCCTAGTGCGCCTTCAGGTGAAGAATGAGCCCAGCGCTTCATCTCCTCCAAACATAGGGACACTGTGTAGATTTCATATGAGGGATTTAGCAGCTGTTCAGTTCAGTCCCACTGCACCTTTTACTGACACTCTACCCCTCATGTATCTCTCATTCTTTTTTTCTTGTCTCGATTGTTATCTTCAGGCATTTAGAGGCCCATCTTCATCTCAACCAACAGCACACTCACTGTTTATTTCCTATTCTACCTCTCCTGTCCACCCTTTAATCTACTCTTCTCCTTTAATAACATGATTTCCCCATGCTGTTGTCTGTTCTCATTTTGAGACCCATCCTTCTCTCAATCAAAAGTTGTATACTCACTGTGTATCTTTCACTCTCTCTCCCACCCTTTCTGTATTCCCAGGTGGCTTCCCTACTCTTTCTCGAGCCATTAGTGAGTTTGTCTGTCTACGTTTCCACTCTATAGCCTGTACAGACACTGTGTTTGCTCAGGCTGACTGCGACCCTTCTCAGCTTTAACTCTTGAAGCCCTTTCTGGAGCCACCAGCCTGCAGTCTGAGGTGACTAAATCCTTTCCTCATTCCTCCACCCAGGCATCGTTCTTAGAACTCAGCCTCCATTAGGATCATCCACAGTTCAAGAAGAACCGCGCAGTAATTTGATTTCAGGGCCCTCATTAGCGTTTTCTACTAGAAGCCATGAGGATATGTCACATTCTCACAAATCACCGGGAGTCTGTTGGAATGACTGAGAACTTCAAATGCATTTTGATGAAAGACTAACCAATCATACCACAAAACCCAATGATCTATAATACATGGACTTCATCTGACCAAAAGTCAATTGAGAATGGTCATCTCTCATTTAATGTTTTGCCAGCTATGACTGTATCACTCCATTTTTTGCCTTATTTAAGCTCTGCTTACAGAACTGCTTTAGACATGACTCTTGCTAATGGAAATATTACTAGCAGTATGTATTCATCTGGCCAAGGACATGGTCTACTTATGAGTCCACTTAAGAGACCTGTAGGACCATATTCAACCATTAGCATTTCAGTGTAATAGAGCAATTTTCGGTTTACTCAGAGCAAAAAGCACTACACATACTGAGAAATCTGTGTTTATGGGGGGTGTGCATGAATGAATCATCCTGGAGCAAAAGGTAACAAGGCTCTAACCTCTGCCTTTTTTATATGAACTGCTACTCCAGGGAAGTAAAGACAATTGATTTTTTTCTCTCTCATCAATGAACTACGCACACCTTTGAGTGGCTGGAGATTAGCTGAATGTTTGACACCCCGTATTATCAAGCACCATCGCAAAGTGTACTACTGACAGAACCTTTTAAGATGTGCAAGCCTATTACAGTACAAATGATGACTCTCTTTCCCAGACGCACACCTGGGGGTTTATGGCAGATAGTGGCAGTGCACTTACTCCAATAAGCTGATCAGTGGAGGATATTGAGTCAGATACAGCCCCTGGCTTCGGACTGTCAGGGCTACCTCCGCTACCTACCACTTACACATGCCATGGGATCTCATTAGTTCTATGTGTAGCACACTTCACTATCACAGCCTTGTATGTACTGTGTCATTCACATGCCCTTTGTGTAGAGGTAAAGTCAAGCATGCATCAGTGTCTGTCACTGTCATGTCCATCCATCACACTTGCGTGCTCCTCACCTGTCAACTTTCTAATGAAATGTACTGACAACTTAAAAGAATGGCCTCCCAGTGTGCTTCCACACACACTCCTCTGTCACTGTCTTGGTACAAATCTCCTTAAAGCCATAAACAAGGATTTCATGCTACCCGAACAGTAGCCCTGGCAAATGTTTAAAAACAAAATCAGAAACTAGAGGCTTGTGAAGCAAAGTTCCCCTCCCCACATTCAGAAACAGGGCTGAATGCAATAAAAATCATTCATTCATATAAGGAAGCATATTTAAGGCTCTAAATAGTCTATATTTGGTGAAAATGTGAAAATGGAAATTAAGTACAGGTTATTCATTTTTCAGTGTCAGAAAAAAGCAGAAAAAATATTTAACAGAAAATTACAAAGAAACCTCAATGACTAAATATAATATCGAACTTTTCAGCATTTGTCTACTCATTGCCTTTATTGCAGCTTTCATGCTTTACAGGAGACTTGCTTTCCATTTTTCAAAGAAATCTGCAGGAATATTTTTCCCAGCCTCCAAAGTTAAGTCTGAGAAGTTGGTTGCATTTTCTACTTCTCACAGTCCAAGTAATCCTAAACGCATTCAGTGATGCTGAGGTCTGGAATCTGGGGTGGTCTGTCCATCAGCAGCAATGGTCATCAACACCTTCTTTGTATCATTTTTTTTAATTTTGTTTCCTTTTTTCAGTAAAGGCTTCCTGACAGCTACACATCCTTTCAGTTTTTTGGTCTGCCGCATCTTCACAGTTGTTAGAAGTCCCATTGTCTCTTCATATCTTTTTAATCATTTTTTTAACTCCAGTTTTGGAGTTTCTGTTTTTTTCACTTATTTTCCTTTGGCTTTCCCCATCCTTATGCTGGTGGATTATATTATACCTAATCTCCTCAGATATATCTCCTGAAAAATGAATATTTTAAATTTAATGGCTGTTTTGACTGGAAATTAAATAAATGAAGGTTGGTCTCTTGGGCTGGGAAATATAACAATGTTTATCGTGATGCCACAATATGCTTTTCTGAGCATATCATCGATATTGTCAGCATTTAAAAAACACTTCCCATGTTTGACTACAAAGACAGCATAATTAGTCCTGTTTAATTGGATTTAGTGTAGGGCAGTAAGTGAATATCAAAATCTCATAACTTGTTTTTATCTGTTTTTATTTTTTATTACACTTTTTGAAAACTCATTGGTCCAAAATGATGTGAAATAAAGTCTTGTTGCATTAATGTACAATAAAGTTTCCATTTTAAGATTTTCTTATGACAGCAACGAAAAATAATATTAGTATTAGTAATAGCATCCCAGATTGTGGCTTTTATGCCCTTACAAGTCAGTTATTCACAGCCAAACACATGTACAAACATAGATGAGCATGTGGTTGTAGTACTGTAAAAGAATCAGCACACTGAATTCTTTTCATGGTGTTCCCACGAATGCAGTCTAGACGGTGACTCCAGTTTAGAACAGCGTTAAAAAGAAACAACCAGTGATTCCCATTTTCTCACTATCTTTCCCTTGCACTCCCCTCCCCTCTCTCTATCTGTCTGCTTCTCTCTTAGGACTGGTGATGGGGCCTGTGCGGGCCTCGCCTTTAGCCCAGCCTGTGCTGGCTGTTCTGGGGCTCGTTATCGGCGTGTGGAGCCTCAACCCGGATGACCCTAACGTCTGCAGTCACTGGGAAAGGTGAGGAGTGCTGTCTTTCTCTCCTGTGCCTCACTCAGTCTTATCTTTCATTTAACACACTGCAGCATACACACTGCACTCCTCCACTCCCACCAACAGCTCACTGAACAGAGATCTTTTATTCAAAAGGCAAGGGGATTAGGATTGTAACATTGTAGTGCAGTGGTGTATGTCTGTGTAATTATTTGAGTATTAAACTGTGTCATATGCAGTCATCAGCAGGGCCAAAGGTACTAAAAAGCTTTACTTGAGTTAAAGAGGTCCTTTTAGAGGACATGCCGCAAAACAGGCATAATGAGAAAAGTTGAAACTGTTACGTTAAATGTGCAAAATTATCATTGTTGAAAGCTGGCCAAGGTTAATTTAGTATGGTTAGATTAAGTGCTGGTAGTAGTATAGCACATATTCATTGAGTATTTCAGATAGAGGGTCGGAGATGTGTCAAAAATATTATCCTATTATCCAAAAATATTAATACTACAAGACATTTTCACATTACAAAATATGTATCACAATATTTTTTTAGATTTAATGATTTGGCATAGACAAAATAGAACATGTAGTGCCACATATAAAGATATTACTATAACAAACAATAAACCTTCAATTACACTTATTTTTTATTCACTGTTTTACAAACTACACTAAATCCAACTATACAGGCTTATTATGCTCAACTGTATCCAACTAATATTAATTAAACATTTTAACTGAAAGGTTAAGAGACTAAAAAGTAAGTTTCAGGCAGTATAGTGAAAATATTCTGAACCTTAAATTATTTTTTGTCTTCAGAAATGTTCTGTGTTTACATATATCATCTGGGTAGTGGCTGTGTCTCAAAAGCACCCACCATCTTGACAGTTTAGAAGAATATTTATTTAAATGTTCATCTTTATAGTCTCAAAAATAATGTGCTAGTTAACAGTGCACTTTTGTGTGTTTCTGTGTTCTGTTTTAATGCATACTGAGCCAGATTCATAAAATGCACTACCACATTTAACATGGTGTTAAGAGCAAATAACATAACAGTAACATGTTATCTCATTTATAAACTAGGATTACTGGCCAGTTTTACTGTTGATATGTGTGATATTGGCACTACTGCCCTCATTTGCCACCCTGCAAAATAGCACTCTAATACCTCAGATCGTTTCCCTGGTAAGAAGCCAATATGGATTTTTATGGATTATTATTATCTTTTTATTATGTTTTAAATTACAAGAACACAGAGGTTAGCAGTACATTTTCTGTAGACACTCTAGATGGTATAGATGGTGGCATCTTTATAGACATACATTTAAAGCATTCACTGGAAGTAGAAGTAGACACGAAATAATGTGTAAATAGAATTTTTCCAGGTTATGGTGCAAGTCATATATTAATTTCTCCAAAGGTAACTACTTGGACATCTAATTTAACCACGTCTTAGAGGAACGAACATCAGACCGTGGTAACAAGAAGCATTTTTTAACAAAGTAAATTATAATATTTAAATGACAGTTGATGTTACCTGTTGTAGACTTTAAGAGAGTTTAGAAGATATATAGCTGGAGCAGATTGCAAATTGAATGTCAGTTGTTTGTTGGCTGGCAAAATGAATGAGTTTGCACTAACATTGTGTTTTGTCACAAGGCCAGAATCCATGCATAAAACACCTAAACACAGATGTATTAGGAAATATTTCTAACATTTTTCTGTATATTCTTTAAATACATTTATACATTTTCACGTGAACCTTAATAGTGGTACATTTAGGTAAGATCTTCTTACAAGTGTATGACCATAGCCTATATGGATTAAAATAACTTTTCTGTAACACTTTGCATGTCACACATTTAGGTCATCAACAAATAATGCACATACATCCATTCAGTTGATTAATCAAAGCAAATTTTGATCTGTTGGGATTTAGTATCTTGTCACACATTGCAACTGCAGTATATGAAGAGGAGAGTGATATGCTTGACAAGGATTTTAGATTGCTACAAACTTTTGCTTTGAACCATGTAAATGTTTGTGAGCACATTATTAAAGCAGTAGGCTGTAAGAGGTCCCGGTTTGTTCACACTTAGAAAATCAACACAACATGTAATTCAATCAGGGGCACCCAAACTTTTGTTGTAGTTTGTAAAAATGTTTTGTGCATATCAGGTGTTATTAAGAAGATCATGATGTACGCCCCCCTCCCTCCAAAAGTCCTGCCCATCCTGGTAGCTTTGCCACCAGGTCTGCATTACAGTGATTTCACCATGGTATGCAGATGTTGTTGCAGAGTTAATAAAACTCTATGACCCTTATTAGTCCCACAACGGAGAAATTTGACCTCCGCATTTTAACCCATCCGTGCAGTGAAACACCACATACACACTAGTGAACACACACACTAGTGAGCATACTTGCCCGGAGCGGTGGGCAGCCCACGGCACCTGGGGAGGAGTTGGGGATTAGGTGCCTTGCTCAAGGGCAGTTCAGTCACATACTGTCGGCTCAGGGGATCGAACCAGCGACTTTCCAGTCACAAGGCTGGTTCCCTAACCTTCAGCGCCCCCCCCCACAACATGCTAAAATACACAAGTGCTCAATAGATAGTTGTATTTACTTACAAAAAGCCCCAAAATGTCTGTTTTGTCTTGAATTTTAGTAGCAGTAAGTGCAAAATCGATCAAAAACATTTTGGCACAGAGTAGATCAGTTTGTGTTAAGCATATGTCTGATATGACTTAAATGCTATCCATCCTCTTACAGCAGGTGCAGATCAAGCAAAGATACTAAAGTAATGCTGTCTCCTCTCTCTTAGATAAGCTGCAGGTCCTCAACATGTTATCAAGTAAACGGATGATAGACATAGGTACAGTCTCAGTTGGTGTAGTCAGAAAGAATGTGATTTTGCTCTGTAGTTGCACTTACATGTTTAGGTCTAGGTTTTCAGGGTTTCTCAGCCTATGGGCTGTGGACCACCAGCGGGCTGTGAAGCACTCCTGGGTGGTCCACGGGCCTGTACTCAGGGGGAAGCAGTAGTTCGTAGTAGGCTGGTAATGGCACTGTGAGTCATAAAAACATAAGTGGGAAAAAGATAAACTTAATAATAATTAAATATCTAAGAATTAAACATTTTTATATTATAGCCAATATAAATATTAATAAAGAGGTACAAATAAAACCGGCTAATTAAACATCATCAGTTTGAGACAACACAGCCGTGGGCGTGTGATGTAGACAGCTAGCCAGAGATGGAAAAGTTTCTCAGGGCACTTTGTTTGGTGTGGACTTATCACACCTTTTTCTTTAGTTCACTCTGTTTTGACGTGTAAACAATTCACCCATATTCATGCTTATGGAAACGCACTCTGTGATCAAATTAGGGAATTCATCAACAGAGCTGGCTTTCCTTCTCTTCTAGAGGCACGTCAACACCGTACAGTCAGCATAATGACTGTTTTAATGACTGACTCTTTACAGACTCCCAGCACAAACTGCTGTTAAAAACAATAGACATGGAATGATAGCGAAGATATGTGTTTAACTCACGGATTGCGGTCGTGTATCAGCATCAGTGACCTGAGTGGTTACACTCAAATTGTTAAACCAATGACAAAGAGGCTGATATCAAGTAAGATTTATCATTATTGTTGATTGTGACTACTCTAATCCAAAAGCCCTGTGAGTGAAGTGTGGCTTGGCTATTTCAAATGGATCACAAAACCCCTCAAAACTAAAGAGACATCTTGAAACCAAACAATTACTCTTTTGGGAAAGCCAGTGGAGTGAAAACACGATGGACTGCTGCTCCAAATTACAGTCTGCATCTACCTTGTACATTTTTTTTTCGTTTTCCTCCTTTTAATGTCACTACAACCATGTGTTTTTAACATGTTTTATGATTTTAACAAACCTGTGAATTTTGCAGTCCCTACTGAGAACCACAATAGCCAATCTGATCTTTTTCAGGCCCTAATTCTCAGGTTTTCAGTGTCAGCATTTAGGAAAAGAAAAATACAGTTGTATTTTAGAAAAGTTTATTTTAGTTTTCCTGTTGGCCGCTATGCCTTGTAGTTATACACAGGTGGGCTTTGGGATGGAAACATTTGAAAACCCCTGACTGAGGTCACAGCACAAATATTTTTTTTTTCAGAATTAATGTTTCTTTGTTCTCACTAATTATATGTCAAGGGAATAACATTTCTACAAATTGAGTATCAAATTTAACTGAAAGCGGCACACTAACCTCTATCAGACCTGCTCCTTCAGCCCTGTCCGTATTTTTCAGCTTCTTTCTCTCCCTTGCCTTGCCTTGTTTATTAAAGATTTACAAGAGCTGATCAGTTAGTTCAGATTGTTACTTGAACTGGCAATGAGCTGCCACCTCTCTTAAAGAAATTTAATTCATCCATCTGCAGGTTGAGGGATACAAAATTGCATTATGATTAACACTATGTGACCTTAATGACGTTACCTTATGTATGGCTACTACTGATGTAACTGTAGTAAATACAGTTGTATGCAAAAGTTTGTATTTTAATGGAAAATAAGTTAACACTCATTTTCATCTACAGAGAACAAACTTTTGCTTATTTTAATTGAACATTTAATGCTCAATTACTGTTTATTGGCTGAATTCAACATATTGGGAAAAAAACATTCACAAAAGTTATGGCACGTTTTACGTTTAATTTTTTTTCCAATGTGTTAAACTCAGCAAATAAATAAAATTGCTCCCTAGAGGAGGTGTATACTTTTTTACCTTTGAAAATCAACACAACATAGCTTGTCAGGGTGTTAAAATTTTTGCACATGATTGTGCACAAGAAAAAGTTAGGAATCACTTGTCATATTAAGAATTGCTGTTATTTTATCATGACTTGACTTTTTATGTTTTTTTTAAGTTAGCAGAAAATCTCAAGTTTTTCCTAACTTCATTCTCAGTGTTTTACAGCTTTCTCAGTTATTTTTGAGTCATCTGTAGTTCTGTTTGCTGTTCTGGGCACATCTACAATTTCCTT